AAAAAATCAATAGCTTTTCTATACACAGATAATGAACTGGCTGAGAGAGAAACCAGGAAAACAATTCCATTAACATTAACTTCAAAAAAATTTCAAATACCTTAGGGTTCAGTCTAACTAAGGAGGTAAAGCCAGGCATGGTGGCACACGGCTATAATCCCAGCACTCAGAAGGCTGAGGCAGGAGGGTCGTTGTGAGTTTGAGACCAGCCTGGGCTACAGAGTGAGCTCAAGGCCAGCCTGAACTGCATAGTGAGAGTCTGTCTCAAAAAGGCAAAAACAAACCAACCAACAAACAGAAAACAAATAACTAAGGAGGTATAGCCCTTTCTCCAAAGTAAGCCACTTAAGTAAATGCAAAAGAATTGAAGTTATCCATGCAGATTACCAGATCATAATGCAATGAAACTAGAAATCAGTGGCAACAGAAACCAAAAAACTGTGCTAATGTGTGGACATTAAACAATGCCCTCTTGAGCAATCAGTGGTCAGAGATGGAATTAAGGAAGAAAGTAGGCAGTTCCTGCAATCAAACCATACTGCCAGCACAACATTCCAGGACCTCTGAGACACAGGGAAAGTCCTAAGAGGGAAGTTTCTAGCAGTGAATTCCCACATCAGAAAATCAGAGTGAGCTCAAATAAAAAACCTAGTGATGCACCTCAAGGCTCTAGAAAAATAGGAACAATCCAAACGTAAAGCTAGTGCAAGGCGGGAAAGTATAAGGATCAGAGCAGAAACTAATAAAATTGGGAATAAAAATGTAACAAAAAAATCAATGAATCAAAGACTTGATTCTTTGAAACAACAAACAAAATAGATAAACCCTTTGCCAGTCTTAGCAAAACAAGGAAAGCATGGCCCAAATGCATGCAATTAGAAACGAAAAAGGTGAAATCGCAACATATGCTGCTGAAATCCAGAAGATCATTGGTAACTACTTTGGCAACCTGTACTCTCATAAAATTGAACATTCAGAAGAAATGGACAGATTCCTAGATACACATGAACTATCAAAGCTGAGCCCAGAAGATATAAAAGTCCTGAATAATCCAGTATCATTCAATGAAATTGAAAAACTAATTTTAAAAACCACCAACTAGCTGGGCGCACTGGCACACACCTGTATTCCCAGCACTCAGGAGGCTGAGGCAGGAGGATCGCTGTGAGTTGGAGACCAGCCTGGGCTACAGAGTGAGCTCAAGGCCAACCTCAACTGCATAGTGAGACCCTGTCTCAAAAAGACAAAAAAGATT